GATTAAGAAAAATAAAAGACCATGACTACTGCTGGACAGACTGTTTTCCAGTTGATGAACTCAGGGATGATTTTAGGGAGATCTGAACCTTTCTTCATGTCCAGACTGCAGGATCACTCCTGTGTGGCCTCTTTTAGGGACATGTTTTCTCAGTAGTACCCACACCTGATTAGGTGCAGTCCTGAAAACCCAAATTGTGGAACTTGATTCTAATCGGTTAACCTCATGAATAGGTACCATTTCCTCAATATAACAAATAAAAATGTACTCTAACCAGCTGGTTACTTAAGCATAAGTACTGTAAACAGTAGCTCGGCTCTCTCCCAAGTAAAGAAAGCTCCTTTTCAAAGACCTCTACTGAATATCTGCTTTCCTTAATGTGCACAAAACCTAACGTGGGGCATGTCTCTTTTTAAGTCTTTTTAAGTCTTTTTGGCACTGTGAGGTTGGTGACCAGAGGAGCCTGCCTATAAAAACAGGTAAAATCAAAAAAAGACAGCATAGTAATCAGTGAGCTTCAGAAGTGTTGCTTCTGAAGCTCACTGATTCTTACCCTTGCAGGGCGCCAGATCAGCTGTTTACAGCTACTTCTAATGTTTAATGTTTTTGTAAACTAAGCTAAACTAAAGTCCTTCTGGAAGCCACTCAGCAACTATCCTAAAACATCCCTGCACTCTTATTTGAAACATCACAATGACATAAATCCATAGAAACCGTGCATCAAATCGCCGGTCTGCGCCAAAATAAGGTGTCACGCTTCTTTCTTGCTGTTGAAGAATTCTCCTATAATGTATCAGGCTAAGTTAAATCACTATAGCTCTGTTTGCCTTACCGCTATAACAACTTTCTCACTTTTCTTAATTTTATCAAAGAAACTTAATCATCAAGTTCCCTAAATTGTAAAAGGTATTCTTAAAAACTCTGTAAGAATGGTTGAAGCTCGTAGTTTATAACTACACAGAACAGCTCAGCTCCTGTCGTGATGGAAAGAGTCGGTGGGAGAGAAATAATTGGGACTTGCAAATTCCAGCCACTTTATCATGGGTGAAAAACACTACTCAGGCTGGTCTGGTTAAAAGCACAGATATCCTACATGTTCTGGGAATTTTGTGTCTGTAAAACACATGCAAAAATGCTGCCCTCAGCTGCGACCCTTCACCATAGCAACATGCCATTCCCACGGGAAGACGTTGGTGTGTTATACATGAATTCAAGCTGTGTGCAACACATTCTGAAGTTAAGGGGAAAACAAATGAAAGCTAAGCAAGAAGGATATCCTGAATCCCGACCCCTACACTTCCCTGGCATTTTCCTGTCATGTGGTTGTAGGGACATTATTGGAAAATGTTACCTGAAAAATGTCTGTGTCTACAAGTATTAAATTATCTACAGCAGAAAACAAGCATACAGAGTTTTATATGTCGCTTACAAGTTCCTTCATCTGACTGTAGTGCATTTCAGGAGATGAGAGACCCCACTGCTCCGGCAGGCTGAGATCAACAGGTCGGTAAAAGAAAGGGTACATTGCGGACACGCAGTCCAGACAGGACAGTGTCTGCAGAAAGTTAAAGAGAGATTACCGATACATGCAAAGAAGTGAAAAACATATGCAGAAAAATAGCAGGCTACTCTAAGACCAACAGTTATTTTCTTGTGCCTGTGTGTTTCAGGTTGCATTAGTTGTGTACCTCAATAGAGTGTGCAATGTTGAGACACTGTTCCATGCCTGGGATGTCAAGCTGGAGCACACGCAGATCTTTACA